ATCTATTCATTTGTTGGCCCGCAACAATTTACCGCAAAAGCGCATAATCGCATCAGCCCCTCACGTGCTTCTCTTTGTTAAATATGCTGCAAACCCATCTCCATGCTTACTGAACAAGGTGTTTAATCACGGGATTTGCGAAATTGGTTTTCTGAAAAAGCATGTGTTGTAGGTCCATGTTCCACGGGTGAACAAGAATGGGTTTGAGAAGAGCCAGTCGCCGTATCCGCCAGACGAATACGACGAGTTCAATGATCCGACGCTGTTCTTCGAAAGAAATCGAATCAAGCAATTACAGGATGAGCGCGTGCATATCCAGAAGAAGACTTTCACCAAATGGTGCAATTCGTTCCTTAGCAGAGTTAGTACTTCGGCGATTTTTTGCATTCCTACTTCACATTTTCGATTTGTAGGAGTTTTTTTTTTATTGCTAAAGGCGCACTTGCGTTGCTTCATTTATGCCTCAAGTGAACATCGATTACAACGTTCCTGTGTTGTCTTCCCCTCGATTTTGCGCCTCCTTTGCAGTTTAGAAGTTGTAGAATCAAGCCTATGTACGTGTGTGCATATACATATTTGTATGTATGGGCATGGAAAAAATTAGACATGGAAATGAAAGGCTGGGACAGTCATGTCTAGAACAGGACATTGGATCTTGGTGGCGTTGAGGCGTAGATTTACTGAGAAAAAGTGGAACTAGTGATGTGAACTGTCTGCAAATAATATTTCCAGAAGAAATTGAAGGAGTTTTAGGGGGAAAGGCGACCGAACTGAGATTTTGAGCTGTATAATTTTTAAGCACAAAATGTTCTCTGTAAATCCTCATTTCCGCATCCGGCAAGATATGCGCCACTTTCCAGGCATTTTTGTCATTTTTCTGGGTCACCGTTGGGCCTGTTCTTGGTCTTCGCTTTTCTTTTTTTTTTGATTTTTAGCTTTTTGCAAAGCGAGTTCTCGCTAATTTAAAAATTTTAAAATTGTTGCGTTCGTTTTTCGATACATTACTGGTTTCCCCAGCGTTTCTTTTTTTCCCCCGCATCGCAACTTATGATTCGGAGTTCTTACGTGCAACACATCTGCCCGTGGTCATTTGTTTCGCTCATTTGCGAGACGAACTTCGAGTCGTGTATTGAATTTGGAATTGAAGATCATAAAAAGCGGCTGGTTGTAATTAAGTAATTAATGCCGGCTTTTGATACGGTCTTAATTTGTACGTAGCAACAAAAACAATAGTGAACATGAGTTCTTTTATTCTTACCTTTTCTCCAATTTCTTTAAGAGTTTCCATTTCTTCTACTCAATTTATTTCTTCCAATTTACATCCTTAACA